CAACTTGTATTCTCAGGTAATCAGTAATACAGGTAACCGCAAGATTTATGAAGTCAAGACGCTAAGGCGTAGATTATTTTGCTACAGTTTATCATCATATGTAATTTAATTGAAAACATGTATTTTTGGAACATGTATTTTGGGAACAATGTAATCTTTTAAATTATATCTATGATGGTTGTGTGTTACTTTCTTCACAATGGTTATGATACTGAGCATGACGTCATCCGCCCCCGAACGTTTCCGCCGTTCTGGTTTGGGGGTGTGACAGTTGTGGTTCTAGAGTATGACCACATGTCCGGGTGGCTATCTCACCTCTGAATATATACGATCATGCATTCCTTGGATTGTTGATACTTAGTATATTGCTATGCTGTAGTGATATGTTAGAAAGGTATCCTGTTATATAGGATGTTGCTATGCTGTTGTGGCATGTTAGATCGATATCCTATTATATAGGATGTTGCTATGTTGTTGTGACCTGTTAGATCGGTATCCTGGTATATAGGATGTTGCTATGCTATAGTGCATTGTTGGATTTGTATGTTATCGATAATTGTTGGTTATCATCTAGTGGAGTGCCCTAGGGATTGTCTATGGTCATGTAGGATATCTTGAGAACTCTTGATCTAGGTTTTCTTGCCCGTTCCTTGTTTGGTTGTGGCTCTAGAGTAGGATCATCTGTCCGGGTGGCTATCTCACCTCTAGCTACATATGGTTATGCATTTCATGGAGGTTAGCTGGTGGTGGGATTGTATGTTGTTATAGGACTAGTAGGCGGTAGTGAGTTGGATGATTGATGTTTGCATGTGTTATGTGCCTACTTATTCCTTGTTTGTTATATGTCGACATATAGTAGTGGTGGGTTGAGGCGGTCCTACTTTGTGCTGTTGGCCAAGATACCCGGTGCGGGCCGACTGTAAGTCGTAGGCACAGAGGCTCTAGAAGAGCAGTTGCATTGAGGCGGTAGGCCAACAAACCCTGGATATTCCAGCCCGATGGCTGAGTGGACCAGATGCATGCTTGTATGTCTATCATATGAGGTATTTTGGGAGAAACTCACTAAGCTTTATGCTTACCCATTATGGTTTCAGGTATCATCGGTGATAGCGGGAAGGCGAAGGTGAGACTGTACACACTCATCAGCAGCAATGAGGATTTCACGTTCATCATAATAAATTGATTTTATTAAATTGTAATTGTGAATAAATTGTTTTTCTTAAAATGGTTTTTTATAACTTAAGAAGCTTAACTTTAAATAAAAATGAAAAAATTTGGCCATGAAAATGGGATGTTACATCAGACCCGAAACAACTATATGCTGTTATTTTGGGTTGATACGGACCCGAGGGTTGATACGGACCTGACACGGCCATGTGCTGTTATATGATATGTATGTTGTATGTGGTAATTTGGGAAGCTCGCTAAGCTTTATGCTTATAATTTATGTTTATGGTTTTAGGTACTTCCAACTCAAAAGGGAAGGGTCCGACGTGATGACACAACATCCTTCCCACATGATTTCCGCACTTGATGTATTTGTACTCTGATGTTTTGGAGTACTGTAATGAATGATGGCTTTTGATACAATCAATGAATGAAAACTAATCGTTTTTAAATGAAAAATTTTAGTATTGTTTTTGGGTCGTTACAAAACTAGTATTTCCTTTAGCACAAAGTTCTTTGTTAAGGTATGGATATCACTAAACACGTGTTTTAGGCCATCATGTTGCTCAAACTTCAAACACTTACTCTGCGATTTGAATTCATGCTACGCCTATGTCCCTCGAATATATTGCACTTCCATATTCCTAAAGCCTTATTTAATACACATTATAGGTAAATTAGTAATACTCTTCATGTCTTTAACTTCACCTAAGGCACAGAGGATGATTTTGGAATACCAAGAATGTTGGTTGAGTTTAGTGACATTACCATAGACTTGCCAGTGTCTCGTTCACCATCTACCATCTTCCCTTTTTGAGTATGCCTCTCAACATTCTTCTTTTTGACATGCACTTTTTGTTGTTCCCTTCCATGATATTCTTTTCCATTGTTGATTTTTTAGTATCCCTATAGATTCCATCTCTAGAAGCATACACATGATACTTTTCAATCCATATTCTACACAATTTTCTTTCCAACTCCACTTCATCTTTTACACCGAGAATTGAACAAACAAATATCCTTTCCCAACATTCGATAATTTCCTTGCAATACAAACGCCCACCACTTTTCCAAAATTCTCATAATTCTTCCACAATTCGTTATGATCTAGATTGGTCAGGAATTTCGTTACATGCTACAATACAAAAATGTTACAAAGATCTTCAAAATTAGAGTGTTTATTGCCTTCATCTTTTCAACGTCCATCATGCTCTCAACATTCGTTGTTAGGCCTTTTGGAATCGTCATGCCTATTCATCATTTAATGGTTTTGATATTCAAATTGGTGGCATACTTCTTAATTCATGCATATGTCATAGAGTGAGCTAATGATATTTTCACCCTTCCCCATTCATATCCACACAACTTGTTGCCCTAAGGAAACAATCATAGTATGCTAATCTTTCTGGTGCCCTATGTCCCCGTACACTTGATTCCCATCAGAAAGTTTTGTTTTATTACAAATGTATCTTGCCATGCATCACATAACGACAAATAGAAACTCAAAACGATCGTTGTCCGTTGACATGTTTTTTTGATATGGGTAATTGTTCAAAATTGACAATAAAAAAATAGGCTGGAAAAACTTTATTCGTGAATTTGACTTAATGAACTCATTTTTAGTTGTAGATAATCTCTACCCATGGTTGTAAAAGTCTTCACACGTTTAACCCCCACAAGTCTGTGCATGAGTTGCTTTTAGTTTGCATGTACCTTTATATGTGGAGATGAGACCATGTTTGGAAGAATATGATATTTGGTTTCCATAGGAGCAAATTACTTCAAGGATTTGGAGGGTGCCAAAAATATTTAACATATCAAATGTGACAAAATAACAACACAATAAAGTATCGTATGATTGTCTATATGCATATAAGTAGGTGTCGTCCAAAATTCGATCAACAAACTTAATGATCTTTATAGTAAATATTTTTTTTTAACTAATAGAGAACATGAATGTTTTTTTTTCTTATAATGATTGTCATTTCATTTTGTTAAAGTTACAATGTTAAATTCAAAACAACACTAACATTGTATTTTTGTAATTAAATAAAACAATAAACAAGCTACAATATTTCTTTTTGATATAATGTTCATTTTTATCAAGATCACCAAATTTGAAAATATTGTGTTTATTGTAGACATGTTTCCAAAAAATACTATTTGCCAACGTTAACTTCTTTAATCATTTAAACTATTTTTTTGTGTAATTTTCCTTGACCATAACTTAATAATTTTAAAATGTGTAATTTCATAAAAACAATCGTAATATTGTGTCAATAATATCACAATCAATGTCACTAACAGTATAATCACAAGAACAATCATATCTCCAAGAGGAAACTAATTGTCAAATATAAACTATTCATTAAACGAATATCATTCGTCATCTGCCGAGAAGACACTAATTTTTGTAAACGAAGTAAAAAACACTCATTTTTATAATTTTATTTTATAAGCTATCATTTATATAAATTTGGTGTACCAGGGTCCATTTATGTTATTTTATTTAAACACATCGTTTATGCATATTTTTTAAACACACACCATTTATGTATGTTTTCTTTGATGGTCCAAATGAATAATTAACAATGTAATTTTCTTTGTTTGTCAAAATTAGCATCTTAATTTACTTTCTATGTAAATTTCTATAAAAAGTGTCCACATATCTATTTTCTATCGCTTATAATAAACAAATCATAACTTTGCATCATATCCATTTTTTAATATCTATTTTGCCACCTTTCATCATTCTAATTTCCGTTATGCCACATGTCACAATTTTAACACATCTTAGAACATACTAATTAATAACCGGTTTATTGAGGTTTAAATGCAATTTATAATTTCCTATAATTAACAAAAATCTTGTCTTTAACTGAAATTCAAATTCAACATGAATATATAATAAAACATTCTATATTTAAAATCGTATAACTGAAGATTAATCCCAAAAAATCAGGCTTACATAATAGTTCATAAGCATGTATTTGAAGTATTGGATTGCACTTTAAAACCCAATGCCTCCATATTACTAAAACAAACAACTCTGATTGTTTGGGATAAAACACGTATTGTTCATAAACATGCATTTGAAGCATTGGATTTCACTTTAAATGATGTGTTAAGTTATGGTAATGTTAGGAACTCGCATATCCTATTCAACAAACCATAAGTTAATTTTAAAAGTTAATGTTCCGGTTATGTTATTAAGAAAAATCGATCAGAAAAATGTATTATGCAATAGGACTAGACTTCAGGTGGTATCATGGGTAATCATGTCATAGAAACAGTGGTCATAACTAGAAGCAATATCATAAATCGAACTTTTATTTCAAGATTGTCTTTAACACCTTGAGACAAAAAAAATTCAAATTCAAAAGAAGATAATTTTTCTTTGCTGTTTGTTTTGATATGACAATAAAAAAAAATCAAAGTATATCATTGTCAAAGGTGGATTTGGTTTTGCAAGAACCCATTTTCACACATGTGTAATTATATGTCGTTTTATCCACATAAAGAAGAAAATAATTAAAGTTGTTGCTTTAAGATAAGGATGATAATTTCACCAATAAAACTTTAAATGTTGTATATGAAGCACTGTTTTACAATCTATGTTTATTTTACTTTTCACATTAATTATGTATTAAATATCAATCGTATGATTAAATAATTTTGTATCTTATTATATTAATGGTTTTAAAGCCCATCCTCGTTTCCACGGGTTATAAGGTAGACAAAATAAACAAAAAAATGTTTGTTTTTGCATCTCTTCCAAAAAAAGACTTGATAGAAGAAACAAACTTCGGACTTTCTTCTATAGACGAGGGAGGCGCTAAAGTTGGGGGAAGTTTCTTCCCAAACCCCTAAATTGAAAAATTAAAAAAGCGCAAAATTACCCCCTCCCATTCTCATCTTTCTCTTCCCTAAAATCATCTTTGCAAAACCCTCGCTCCTCAAAACTCTACCCCTCTGCCGTTCTTTGTTTCTTCTTCGTTTTTTGCTTATAAACGTATCAGTATTCAACCCTATTGACATTCGATTAATATTTGTTGATAATCCACTCTTTCTTTCACACAACGCATTTTGTTTTCTATTTTTCTTGTGTTCTTGTTGTGGTTCCAATCCGTTTTGGAGATGGTCTCTGGTTCGCGAATCGAAGGGGGGAACGGGACACAGAATTTATCAGCTGGTGTTCGTAGAACGATTCAATCGATCAAAGAAATCGTTGGTGATCATTCGGATGCTGATATTTACTCTGCCCTTAAAGAGGCCAATATGGATCCTAACGAGACTACTCAGAAATTGTTAAATCAAGGTTTTGTTACATGGAATTTCTTTAGTTAGTTTGTTTATGCTTCCGTATTGTTTCTCACCGTTTCGATTGATTTGCCCAAGTAATATAGAATTCGAGTAGATGTATTGTTGGAATCTGTTAAGGGCTTATAGTTGGATATCAGAATTTAAAACTATGTAGGGGTATTAAAATGCATTTCAATTGAGAAGCTTAGACAATATGAAGCGACTTCTTTTTTAGGGTTTGGCAAATTCTTTGTTTTTACTAATTGCTTGTTCAGCTGGCACTTTCTTCATCGTACTCTCACATGACTTTGGTTTTGTTTCTTTCGTTATTTAAACATGGAGGCTACTAGCATGGATAAAGTCCACAGAAAAGCCAAGAAGGCTATAGTTTGTTTGTTTATCGCCAAAAATTGTGTAAATTTTTGCGAAAGTGGCACATGGTGTGCTCTGCTTATGGTCTTTTCTTGCACTCGTGCACTCTGATTCCAGTTATTGCAACTTTGTGTCACCAAAGTAGCAATATGTAGACCCAACAATCAGGAATATGTACATCAGTCTTGAATAGAAGGTAAGATGAGGACAAAAGATTTTGTTTCATATCTCATGCATTAGGCCCACTGCTAATGGCAACACAATATTTAACACAGAGCCATATTTAATAAATCAAAATAATCACAAATTTCTTTAAGATGGCACTGAATAAGGTGGTTGGTGGCATCATGGAAACTCTTGTAAGATGTCACTGAATACAGGGGGTTGGTGGCACATAAATGCTGTTAGGAATCTAAATTTTATAAACCATTACAAATAAAACATAATATACATACAGCTTTACCTGTGTTAATAGGAAACTGGAAGATGCAATAAGGACAGTTTTTACTTCGTACCATTTTGATATGTGCAGAAAGAACATTGTGCTTCTCATGCTACTCTGCCTGTTGATTTGTGTAACTACTTACGCTTTTTCTTATTTTATTTGTTGTTTTTTTATCAGATCCATTTCATGAAGTTAAGAGGAAAAGAGATAAAAAGAAGGAGGTTTGTATTCCTAATTTTTCATATTCATGCTTTCTTTCTGCAAATAAAGAATCACATGTCTTTCTTATATCAATGCTACTTCAGATTTCAGAAGGCTTGCATATAATATTTTACTTACATTATTTCAGGTTACACCATTCAAGGCACCTGTGCCTATAAAACCAAGAAAGCCCACTGAACAACCAGTTCAAGAGATAAAGCCCAATACATATCAAGAACGTAACCCTAGAAGGCCAGGCTATAATTGGAATAATGCACCTGGTAATTTATTCTTTTATATCTTAACATTTTCATACTCAAGTTAATCATATTATTATTATTTACTCTTTTCTTTTGGTCACCTGTTAATGATTGGAATTTCACTAGATACAAGAGTAAGTAGACAGTTTCGTGTTGTGAGAGACAACAGAATCAATCAAAACAGACATAGAGATATGAAGCCTCCTGCTAAACCCTCAGTAGCTGTCCCCACTAAAGAGCCACTAATCTCAAACGTGTCTGGAAAGAGGTAATTACTTTTTTCCCCTTATCACCATTCAACTTTAGATTAATTTTTTGTCTATTACATGTGGCATTCACAATTATGCAGCTCCACAGAGACTTCCAAAAATCCAGAGCAAAATTCTTCTCAATCCCAAAACATTCCACTTGATTCTTCACTCCCCAAAGAAGTAAAGACAGTTAGTTCAAGTGGTAAGAGACCTGTAGTTTCTAATGTGATGCCACCTGTCCAACAAGCAACAAAAACACATGATCCACAACAATCTTCTGTGACATCACCAAACAGTTCAGTAGTAGGAGTGTATTCTTCTTCTTCAGACCCTGTTCATATCCCCTCTCTTGCATCCAGACCAGCTGCAAATGTTGGTGCCATAAAACGTGAAGTAGGGGCAGTTGGTGTAAGGCCACGTCACACATCTTCTGAAAACTCTCAATCAGGAAGAGAAGGGCAATTTAGGTCTTTTCCTGCCATTTCTAAGACTGAACAACCATCTCACTCAAATGTCTCTGAATCAGTGCCTAATGTATCTGCTGGAAGTGGAAGATCCTTTAATAATCAGTATAGCAACAGACCACATCAACAACTTGTCACTCATCAGAAAGGTATGCAGTTACATTTTTGCTACTGATATTTATTTACATATTACTACATCAGTAAAAAAACTGTTATAATGTTCCTATTATGGGTAAAGAACTGTAGACTCATTGTTATTATCATTGAAAAAAATGAAAGATGTTGCTATTATAAGTATATTGCTATTATTGGTTACATATGGTTGTTTTAAAATGTAGCCCCTCAAGCAAATAAGGAATGGAAACCAAAAACAAGTCAAAAACCAAGTGTTACTGAAGTGGGAGTTATTGGAACACCAAAAAAGACCACATCTACCCTTGCCAATAATTCCAAGGACATGACCACAGAATCAGATAAATTACCAAATTCAAGCACAACACACGAGGATCAAAACGTCATTATCGCAGCACATATTCGTGTTTCCGAAACCGACCGTATTCGCCTCACTTTTGGCAGCCTCGGAATCGAGGATTCCCCCCAGAATTCTGGATTCCAAGGTGTTGAAGTGTCACATGCTGAACAACCTATTATGGCAAGGTATTGATTTGTTTTTTTTTTTCTTATGAATCATAATAGCAACGTTACTTATATTGAAGTGGATGACAGTTTATCCGCCAGCTCATCACCAGTCTCTTCAGACGAACCATCTGGTGGGACCCACATCGAGTCGGTAGACGAACCTGTCCCAAGTTCCGGTTCCGGTTCCGTTTCCCCTGTTTCAGAACAACAATCGAATGAAAGACTGGAGTCTTCAAGTTCACAAAACATGGAAAATTACACAAATATTAGACTTGTGAGACAGAACAGCCCTTCATATGCACCTTCAGAGCCACATCAGCAGCAACCACCCCCTTCAGATTTGCCAAGTTTTTCAGTTAGTATACTCTTTTTTTTTTTTTTTGATAGTTTATTATTTTGTTTTAATTAATGTTGTGTTATTTATTTATAGCAGGCGTATGATCCTCAAACTGGATATGATATATCGTATTTCAGACCAGCTACTGATGAATCAGTCAGGGGTCAGGTGCTTCAAGTCCCTCAAGAGGTGAAGTTTTATTTCTTAAACCAATCATTTTAATATAATTAAAGATTCTGATTATGAGAGGTATGGAATGGTTTATTTTTCCACAGGGATTTACTTCTCATGTTGCTAACACCATTCCTGCAACCACAATTCCCATGGTACAACAACAGCAACAACAACAACAACAACAACAAGTGGCTCAAATGTATCCACAAGTTCATCTTCCTCACTTTGCTAATCTAATGCCATATCGCCAATTCCTTTCCCCTGTTTATGTCCCACCAATGGTGATGCCGGGGTACTCTAACAACCCTACATACTCCCCCCACCCTCACCCCCACCCCCACCCCCACCCCCACCCCTCTAGTGGTAGTAGCTACCTCCTCATGCCTGGAGTCAACCCTCCTCCTCATGTAAATGCAAACGGAATGAAATACGCGATTCCACAGTATAAATCTCTCCAAGCTGGCAGCCCTACTGGATTTGGGAACTTTACTAGTCCTAATGGCTACGCATTAAACACTCATGGAGTTGTTGGAAGTGCCTCCGGAATTGATGATTCCGCCCGGCTTAAGTACAAAGATGGGAATGTTTATGTCCCAAATCCTCAGGTAAACCTCGTTGCTATTAATCTGTTGTTCACAATTTACCCTTACATTTATATAATACAAGAAACTCATTCCATTCATACGATGGAATGTAATGACTGATTCCATTCCAGGCGGAGACATCTGAACTTTGGATGAATCCAAGGGACATTCCGAGTCTACAATCAGCATCATACTACAACATGGCGGGACAAACGCCACATGGCGCGTATCTGCCTTCACACACTGCACACGCGTCATTTAATGCAGCGGGACAATCTTCTCATATGCAATTCCCGGGGTTATACCACCCGCAACAACCGGGTGCTATTGCCAGCCCCCACCATATGGGCGGCAATGTTGGTGTTGGAGTGGCGGCAGGGGCTCCCGGAACCCAAGTTGGTGGTTATCAGCAACCGCAGTTAGGTCAAATGAGTTGGACAGGGAACTTTTGAGAGGAGAAGGGTGGTTATGGATATGGATATCGGGTTTTTATTATTGTATGGGGATTGAATTTTAGTTATAGAAGTGTTTTTTTTTTTGTTCTTTTTTTCTTTTTCGTGTTTTGTTTATGAAAAAAATGGTTCTTCCCCTATCAATGCATAATGTTTTGTTTAATTTCCTAAAATAATAATGGGTTAACCAAAGATACAGGTGTTAATTAATATAGCTCGGTTTGGTATTATACTAAAATATAAACTGAAAAAAATATGGACATTCAAAAATGAATATATATATATATATATATATATATATATATATATATATATATATATATATATTTTGTTTCTTT